TTATATGTCTTAAGACTTACAGCTTAATGTACAGAAATTATACCATGCTTCCTTTCTCCAAATAGATTTAATTAAAACCCTCCAGTTCAACTAGGGTTAAAAAATTCATAACCACCCTGGCCGGTTTGGCTCAGTAGTTAGAGCGTCCGTCTGCGGTCCTGAGAGACCTGGGTTTGGTTCCCGCTAAGGGCATGCACCTCGGTTGCAGTTTGTCCCCGGCCCTGGTTGGGTCATGTGGGTGGCAACCACTCGATGTGTCCCTTTCATGTTGATGTTTCTCTCTCTCTCTCTAACTGAACAACAAAATGGAAAAATGTCGTCAGGTGAGGATAAAAAAAAAAAAAGTTCATAACCATCACTGTAAGACAACTGACATTCATGAATTTTTACCTGCAATAATTAAGTAATCCCCTGACAAGGACAACCCTTCTGAAGGAAATCATGGCAGATTCTATAGTAGTACAACCATCACATTTATTTACTTATACAATGACTTCCTTCATGAATAATTTGAAGTCACATCATACAAAAGTAAAAATATTTGGCCCTGGCTGGTGTTGCTCAGTGGTTAGAGTGTTTGCCTTTGCACTGAAGGGTCATGTGTTCAATTCCTGGTCAAGTGCACGTACCTGGGTTGCAGGTTTGATCCCAGTCCTAGTTGGGGCTTGTGGGAGGCAACCAATTGATGTGTCTCTCTCACATTGATGTTTTTCTCCCTCCTTTCCACTCTCTTTGAAGATCAATGGGAAAAATATCCTCAGGTGAGGATTGACAAAACAAAACAAAAAAGCAACCAAAAAAGAGTAAAAGTATCCGTATATGCAAAGTTTGCTTGTTCCTTTGTTCGTTTAATTAATCCAAGATTTCATTTAAAGCCACAGCCTCTATCAAACAGGTTAAAAATTTCAGGTTTATGTACTTCAAGTGGTCTTTAAGTCACGGTATTTATCCTGAGATACGTAGAGAGGCCACGTGATGATGAAAGCAGAGACTGGAGTGAAGCAGTTACAAGCCCAAGAATGAAGCCAGGAAAAGACAAGGACGGATCCTCCACTGGAGCCTAGAGAGAGCATGTCCCAGTATCACCTTGACTTCAGACTTTTAGCCTCCAAAACTGTGCAACCAAAGCTTCCATTGTTTGAAGCCCCTGGTTTGTGGTACTTTGTCATAGGAGCTTAGGAAATTAATAGATGTTGGTTCTTATTTGTCACAAAATACTCTTAAATCTAGGATTGTTACTGGTCATGTTTGTCATAGTTGAAAGAAGATCTTAAAATACAAGGAAAGAGTAATTCATAAATAACCTCCATGTGGTTGATGTTTAAAAAATAATTCCAAATTTAAATTTAACCACACAGAAAACAAAAATAGAAAATAAAGATACTTTTAGAAATAAGTTCTTCAATGTTTTATCGTATTTGATAGCAGCTTTTTTTATTGGTTACAAAACCTAAGCCCATATACAAAATTAGGAACACATTTATATGCCTCTTTTGAAAGAATGGTTTAGTCTTTTTTAACTGAGTTTAAAAAAAATAAAAACAATGCAATTTTTCAACACTGTTTTGAAAACTTAAAAGTGCAACAATATACTTAGTTTTCTTTATCTACGAAATGGCGCAATTCCAATTCCAAACTGATAAGGTCACAACAAACTGAATCAAGCAAATGCATACAGATGTCTGCACTCCTTGATAATGTTCACTTATGTTAGTTTGCACTTAAAAGACAAGAGGAATGGGAATCGGCACAATAGAGGCCCAATTTAATCTCAATGTGTGCAAAATTTAAAAGGTAACTGTCAGTAAGTATGGAAAGTCCAGAAGAAACTAAACTGGAAGGGGTACAATTCACAATATCAAGAAGACTTGGACTTTAAGGGTTTCACTGAAGTTTGTGACCTTAATTAGCTTTGACGCTGTTATTTCCTACTTTTAGTGAACACCACACAGTTTCAAAAATTTGGATTACAGTGTCTGAACAGGATGCAGTTACCATATGAAGCTTTAACTCAAAATTTGGATAAAGAAAAAAGGCACAATGAACTTCAACTCAATTTTATGTGCACAAGAGTTGAAAAGTCTGAGCCACCTTAAAGAGAAATTGATTCTAAAATTTATAAAACCTATAAATAATCAGAGGCGAAACCACTATATTAAAACAGATTCTCTAGCAAGTAAAAATCTTGCAGTTTAAACATACGCTTGTATCCACTTTAGATACAAGACTAAACTCACTCTTTAAAGTGGCTCCACCTTGGCAGATACATATATTTGTAATGAATGCACACCTGCTATGTGTCGTTTATCAGTGAAAACACCCTAGCTGATTCACAAAGCTCTGATAGCATCTGTCTCATCTTCATCACAGTAAACAACCCCCCCCCTCAGATAACTAAATTAGTTTAGATATTCTATCTCTTCACATCAATGCATTGGAAAATTATACCCAGTAAACAATAGCAATACAACCGTATCTGTGACAGCACAAGTTATTCAGTTTTAAAAATTTCAAAATTCATATTTTTTTCATTAATAACTGGGTCACACAATTTACCAAAAGCAGTGACTTTACATAGCAATACCAGATTTTGCAGAAGTACTTAAAGATCACTGCAAAACAGGTTTATGTTAAATAACTGCAGATTATTCCTCTACACAGATCCTGTCTGAATCTTTTAATATGTGAATATGCTTAGAGTAAGATCTGAATGAACTTTCCCAATACTCAAAGAATGAAGTTTTATGACACTTCTTAATAGTTGCTGGTTTGTTGCCAACCACATTATCAAAAGCACTGGTTACTAAGTAAAAAATATTTTAAGACTAAATTACAGTAAACATGAAAGCTCCACAGTTTAAACCTAATACAAAATCAACCATATCCAATTATCAATTTAAAACAAAAATATTAACTCCTGAAAGCTAAAAGCAAGATTTTCTTTTTTAACATCACCAATGGGTACTTTAGACCTTTGTTTTTTTCTTTAGTCAGGGACTCTTGCTTTCAACTTAAACAGAAGTTCAAGTCCGTAACAGGTTGCAGCTCAGGTAAAATACCATGCACAGCATTTGATTACTTCAAAACAGCAGGAACACACAGGCTGAAGTGAGTGGTCAAATAGGGCTTGCTGTTCTCAAAAATTAGGAATAATGGCGAAAGCATTACCATCCATAGCTAAAGTCCTTCCTCCAACCCTGGCTTCTGAGGCAGATGATAAACACATCAGTTACTGGCAGATGAAGCACAGTTTTTTAAAACTTATCTGTTTAATCAATAACCAAGTTTCTTTTAAGTTACTTTTTTTGTGTCAGTTCCACCAATGAAAATCATTTGGCTTGTACTTTAAAATCTATTTTTCCACATAAAGAATATGAAAATATGTTTGTGGAGGACAAAGATGGAGGCTCAGATCAGGCTGCACCTCTTTAAAGTCTTCCAACGTGTATATACATCATACCAAAGTGTCTTGATCCACAGTGCACCATTTCCCAAAGGAATAGTAAGTGGACAGCTGACATGCCACCACTATGGAAATTCTAAACTGGAGACTGCAGTTGTCAGCGTGGCACCAGGGAACAGGGAACGGGGTCGTTGAAATTGTTAAGAATTCTGAAACAGTTTAGATCATGCATATGCATTTACAGTCCATGTGAGAGTGACTTTTGGCAACTGCAAAGTGACTGAGACATGGCTTGCTTTAGAAGCATCAAAACGAAGAGGCATTTGTGTTTTGGAGCCTTTTGTTGTTGTTCTTGTCATTTGGTAGCCATCTGGTGGTGCTTCATACTGACTGGGAAAGATGCTGCATTCAACTGAACTCAAAAATTAAATTCTTTTGTTTGAAGGTTGGCTGTTGGGTCAAAATTGTAAGTACCTCCTTGTGTTGCTTCAGGAATGAGGCTAGGATCTTCATCAATCTATAAAAAGCAAGAAAAAAATCCTGATTATGGTGTAAACAGAACTGACTTTTCTTTTTTTTTTTCTCTTAACAATACTTCACTGTAACTTTCATCTATTTATTTTTTTGCAATTTTTTTTTTTAAATCCTCACCCGAGGACATTTTTCCATATTTTGTTCAGATAGAGTGGGAGGGAGAGAGAGAGAAACATCGACGCGAAAGGGACACATCGAGTGGCTGCCACTCGCACGACCCAACCAGGGCCGGGGGCAAATTGCAACCGAGGTACGAGCCCTTAGCGGGAACCGAACCTGGGTCTCTACTGCAGGCTGATGCTCTAACACTGAGCCAAACCGGCCAGGACTATTGTTTTTGCAATTTTTATTAATTTATTTTTGTTACAGATATTCCCCCCCCCCCCACCCTCCTCCCAATCCTGCCCCCGTCCCAGCATTGCTGTCTATGTCCATTGGTTACGCATACATGCATATAAGTTTTGTGGCTTATCGCTTCTCTCTCCACCATCTCCCTCCTCTGAGGTTTGTCAGTCTGTACCCCACTTCCATGTCTCTGGGTCTATTTTGTTCATCAGTTTGTTTTGTTCATTATATTCCACAAATAAGTGAGATCATGTGATATTTGTCTTTCTCTGATTGGCATATTTCGCTTAGGATAATACTCTCCAGGTCCGTCCATGTCATTTCAAAGAATAAGAGATTTCTCTTTCTTACAGCTGCATAGTACTCCATTGTATATATGTACCACAGCCTTTTTATCCACTCATCTATTGATGGACACTTGGGCTGTTTCTAGATGTTAGCTATTGTAAATAGTGCTGCTATGAACATAGGGGTGCATGTATTCTTTCTGATTGGTTTTTCAGGCTTATTAGGATATATTCCCAGAAGTGGGATCACTGGGTCAAATGGCAGTTCAATTTTTAATTTTTTGAGGAAACACCATATTGTTTTCCTTAGTGGCTGCACCAGTCTGCATTCCCACCAGCAGTGTACTAGAGCCCCCTTTTCTCCACACCCTCGCCAGCACTTGTTTGATGATTTGTTGATGGCCAACATTCTGGCAGGTGTGAGGTGATACAAAAATAGAGAACGCTTCACAAATTTGCGTGTCATCCTTTTGGAGGGGCCATGCTAATCTTCTTTGTATTGTTCAAATTTTAGTATATATGCTGCCAAAGTGAGCACCTGACATTTCTTTTTAAAAATATTTTCTTTATTGATTTTTAGAGAGAGAGGAAGGGAGAGGGAGAGAGAGACAGAAACATCGATGAGAGAAAACATTGACTGGCCACCTCCTGCATACCCCCCACTGGGGATCTGGCCCACAATCTGGGCATGTGCCCTGACCGGGAATCGAACCGGTGACCTCTTGGTCCATAGGTCGATGCTCAGCCACTGAGCCACACCGGCTGGACTTGACTTATTTCTTAAGAGAGAATTTTGTATAGATGTTTTAACCACCTAAAAATATTTAAGTAAATCAATAACATTATTAAGAACTTTAACAATATAAAATTGAACATATTTTTAAAAACTGCCATGTTTTTAAGTTCCTGTATGTTTAGATTTAGTGTACCTATCTAAGCATATTTTATTTCTATAATTACTATCTCTTCCCATTTAACAGATTACAAATGTAACAAGAACTTTTTACAATTTTACCTATTAATGATGTTTCAGACATAGTATATAAGAGAACTCATTGGTGGAAAACAACCACTAATCTTTTAAATTTAGAGTTTTATAAATAACTGGAAAAAATGCCACCTCAAGGGTATCTGATAGAAATGTAGTATAAGCTTAATTCATATTAATAATAAAAGAAAAATTCTTAGTAAATTTACACATAAATTCTTATACATGTATAGGTTTTAATGTATGTGCAGACACACCATACTTTAATATATACTTACATCATCACCAGAGAAATACTGATCTATGATTTCAAATGCTAATTTATATATGTCTTCATTTTCATGTTGCTGTAAAACTTCAATTTTCTCTAAACCTGACAAAAAGAATAATTAAGCAGATACAATAAAAACTGTGCTCATTTTAATCATGAAAAATCCTAAAGAACTGAACAGCCCCCAAAGATAATAGTTTCTCTAAAAACCTGAAATGCTCTGGTTGGAGGACCAGTATCCCACTAATTTCTTCCTCTTTAGAAGCCCCTGAGGCACCCGGGACCCTAAAGCAGACAGTTTTAAGAACATCGGAACCTCCACCTGCAGGTGAGGAAACTGTGGCACACAGATGTAAAGCCATTTACTTCAGGTTTTGTGGCAAGTTATTGACAGAACTAGAAGGAAGATCATCCTAGACTGCTTTAATATAATCATACCATCCCAGACAATAATAATTATCTTTTTCTTTGTTTTCCAGATGTTACTATTTTATATAACTACAAAAGTTAAGTTTGCAGAGATTTAAGGATTAACTGAGAAATACAAAATAAATCTTTGAATTTTGAAGTAATTTCTTCTTTTTTTTTATCCTCACCTGAGGACACTTTTTTCCATTTTTTGTTCAGATAGAGTGGGAGGGAGAGAGAGGAAGAGAGAGAGAGAGAGAGAAAGAGAAACATCAACGTGAAAGGGACACATCAAGTGGCTGCCACCGCACGACCAACCAGGGCCGGGGACAAACTGCCACCGAGGTACGTGCCTTTAGTGGGAACCGAACCCGGGTCTCTCCAGACCACAGGCTGATGCTCTAACCGCTGAGCCAAACTGGCCAGGGTTGAAGTAATTTCTTTAAAAAAATGAACAGGGGCTTATGTCCTATGATCAAAATGAACTTTGGAAATAATTTTTCAGAACAGTGATGGTACAATGCTTTCATTTATATTCCCAAAACATTTATTGCACATATCAGGTATACAAGTCTGTAATTGTAAATCCTTAATAATAAATATTCTTCCTTGAATTGAAATGTCTTTTTAGCTAGGTTATTTTGAAATTGCATTTTTTCTTTATGTAATAATATACAAACCAAAAATGGAAAAATAAATGTCAAAGATAATGCGTGAATAGTACCTTATAAAATTATAATACAAAGTAAATACATGTCCTAATTATAAGTATTACTCCCATAGACAGAACCAAGTATATTGAAATAAAGCCGAAGAGGAACAATTCTGTAGCTCAAATTTTCTGGGTTAAGTTGTTCTAAACCAGAATATAAAGTTAATTTCAAATTATCTTAAAATGTAAAGCTTCTTAAAACCAGAATAAGCAGTGAGTTAATAGTATAAAAATCTGGATTTTTAAAAACAATTTTTACTAATTGATTTTTTTTAGAGAGAGAGGAATGGAGAAAGAGAGAGAAACATCAATTTGTTGTTCTATTTATTTATGCATTCATTGGCTGACTCTTGAATATGCCCTAAGCAGAGATTGAACCCACAAGTTGAGTGTATTGGGATGCTGCTCTAACCAACTGAGCTACCCGCCAGGGCTTAGAATCTGGACTGTTAATTATGCTTTTATAACTAACTACTTCTATGACCATCAACAAGATTCTTTAACATCTCTAGGATAATTTTCTTTAGTAAATCCACTCTTACCTCCACATTCTTCTATTATTTCAGCTATTGTGCTTGCTTCATCACCAGCCATTATCAGAATGTTTTTCAGACCATCTAGAACCACCTGAACAACTTGAGAATCTTTTACTGACAGTAAATTGCAGAATGGTGGTATCACATTCTGCTGTACAAGGTACTCAACCTAGATAAGAGAAAAAAATATTTTTATTTATATAATTATCTTTTCCTCAAAAAGAACTCAGTACAGGGCTTATAAACAATCAGAATTCTTAATTATAATACAGCAGTATTCTTTCCAGTATTAACAATTATAACAGTTTCTCCAAACTCACTTGATCTTTTCTGCCACTTATTGTTAAGTTGCTAATTGCCCAAGCAGCTTCTTTTTGTGTTCCAAAGTCCCCCTGAAGATTAAAAAAAAAAAAAAGATAAAATGAATTCTTTATTCAAAAAGGTTTGGTTATATTATATTAACATACATGATGAACTCATAATATGACTGACCTTAGCAAGCTGATGAATTATCATAGGGATTAATCCTGCATCTATTACAGCTTGAACTTGTTGTTGGTTGCCTGCTGTTATGTTGGAAAGGAACCACACTGCTTCCTATAGTTGAACAAAATACAGAGCGTCTTTATTTGAAAATTTTTATCTTTAATGTGTTCATATTTCTATTTTAATGTAGTATATGTATATATAAAATAACAAAATCACCTGAGTTGCATTAAGGGGAAAACATCTAAAAGTGATTAGGTTATACAGAATCTCCCATTTTAAATAAGCTAGCTATAAGGAAACTTCTATTCATACTATTTGGGCCCCATTAACTTAGCATGTGATATGGCAGAGAATAAAACCATCAAAATGTCTTTACTCATGTAGCTTATTACATTTTTGGTTCATGAGCTCCCTCTAAAAGACAGATGGTAAATAAACAAACAATTGAATTTCCTAATATTTTGTTAAAACTACTTCTTAGAAAGGTGATTTGCTTTATTATAAAACTATTTACTTACAAGATATATTTAGAAATTAAGCATTTAACTAGTCTAGGATGGGTCTATATAACAAATCTTATTGTAACTTTAAAGGATTTGTAAGTCATGAACCAACAAGTTTATTGTAATTTTAGTGTTAAATGTGTACTTTCTTAGTCATGCAGAATTAAGACTTAATTGTAAATTTGTTTTGCCATCCAATTGTGGTAAGATGTTAACAACTGGTGAATCAGTGTTTAGAGTATATGAGTGTTCACTATAGTATTGTTGCAAAAATCTTGTAGGTTTGAAAATTTTCTAACTAAAATGTTGAGGGAATAAAACCAAGTTGGTAACTTCTACCTCCAGGGTCCCATGATGGTCCCAAGATGCAAATAACACTAACGCTCTAGGTGAAAACCTTCTGAAGCAACCAACTACTTGCTGAAACTGAGTTAGTATCTATAAGAACCCTTTTTCTTTCCCTCTTGATTGATACCTTCCTTCACTTCTCTCCACCCATTCCTGTCGGGCTTCCTCACTTTCTCAGCCGTTTCCAATTATGGAATACATTCAGCTGTAAAACCTATATTATTGAAATTTCTACAGCAAAAATAACCAGTCCAGACTCTAAAAGACTCTGTCTTCTTTTCCTTCATTGGAACAAATACATATATATATGTACACACACACTTACACACACACACACACACATATATAAAATGTGATTTCTGACAACATACTATTCTTTAACACCCCAACTGTTAAATTATAGTCAAGCAACTATATAAACATAGCTATGACAGAAGAAATGATCAATTTGCTGGTTTAGGGGATGGTGACATTTCAGGCAGCTAAAACTGCATTAAAACTAAATGCAAGTCAAAACCACGAGATACCACTTCATACTGCTAGGGTGGAAATAATAATAAAAGGAACTCTTAACACTGCTTGTGGAAATGTAAAATAGTACAGCCACTATGGATAATAACAGTTTGGCAGTTCCCCCCAAAACTAAAACAGAATTATCACATGACCTTGCATTTCTACTCCTAGACATACATCCAAAGGAACTGAAGGCAGGGATTAAAACAGACACTTGCATGCCAATGTTCACAGTAACATTATTCACAATAGCAAAAGGTAAAAACAATTCAAGTTTCCATCAAGAGATGAATGGGTAAACAAAATGTGGTATTTATGTACAATGGGATATTTACTCAACCATAAAAAGAAATTACGTTCTGATACATGTCCCAACATGAATGAACCTTGAAAACTTTAGCAATATGAAATAAGCCAGACACAAAAAGACTTAAGTACATGTTTAACAATTAAAAATAAGTTTGCATCTCAAACTTGAAATCTTGAAAAAAGCAATTTTTATGATCTTTTATTTTTGCATTTATCTCCATACAGAGCAGGAGGGAGAGGGGGAGGAAGAGAAAGAGAGAGAGAAACATCAATGTGAGAGAGACACACCAGGTGGTTGCCACCTACACAACCCCAACTGGGGCCAGGGACAAACTGCAACCCAGGCACAAACTGCAACCGAGGCACATGCCCTTAGCGGGAAATGAACCTGGTTCTCTCTGGTCCGCGGGCTGACGTTCCAACTGCTGAGCCAAACCAGCCAGGGCAATTTTTATAATCTT